TCGCAGATGGTAGTCACTGCTCCAGAGAAAATCTTAACATCGCGATTCAGAAATGCACAAATATGAGTCAATGCCATCTAGCGGTGGGCGACGGAACTTTATTCACGTGACATACTCACCAACAGCGAATAACAATTCATCACTGTTGAGATCATGGTCCAAAGAGGCGATGGGAACCGTAAGCTTCTTCGGCTCGCGGCTCACTTCCGCCTTGCTGCCACTTGCTTCGCATACTACTGGTCTGGAACTGGGAAATAACAATTACTTGTCATTCATTCGCATCAAGTATTAACTGCAATCGCGGATACACACAAACGCAAGCACTCATACATACTCATGTGCGTATATCCACCTCACCATCTGCATCTATCTTTTTGAAATAGAATTTAGTAGAGTATGTTATTATTATGCATTATAATTTATTAGCTTTTCTCAAAATAACCGTGACTTTGACATACTTAATTTTATGATTGAATAAATTTCAAATGACATTTAAAATTACTGATTAAAGTGATCTGAATTAAGGAAGTTAATTTACCTAAAGCATGAACGTTTTCTTAATATGGACATACACATTTCGTCATCACTGCGTATAATTTTTTTTTACTGATTATTTTCTAAACATTCCAAGGTATAGATTCCCCATGTTTATTTTTTAAATGGCTAAAGTATTTTAATACGTAAGTATCTATAGAAACACAAATACAATATTATTTTTTGAGACAATAATTTCTAGCAAATACTTAACAGGAAATAATCCGATATTCCGATAGGTCCCGGAATTTGTAAAAGGGAATGTCCACATTATTCTTTGGTTTAGCTAAATTAACTCCCTCAACTCCGGTTTCTGATTAAAAAATGTTAAATAGCACAAGTTTTACAAGATCAATTATATAATAAAATAATACTTAATGACCACTTATTACTGAACTCTGACTCTAAAACAGCTTAAAGAGCTTTAATATTCTTGAAACTCCTTACGTTTCAGCACAACAAAACTGATTTATGGTAAACATTGATAGGGCGGTGGTACTCAGGGTTCAGCATACACTGATAACACACCAGTCCCACATCCTCTACTAAGTTTTGTTTATAGCGCTATGAACTTTGGATTAAAGTTAAACTTTTGGTTATACGGAAAGGCCATTATTACTTGTGCTAGCAAACCTAAACAGGGACCTTATCCTGGAGGTCTACCATGAAATACGAAGCAACGATCATCGTTTTAGCTTCATATCGGACCGGAGGCTCCCACGAAACACGTACGAATGACGTGATTTGACATAATCCAAATTAATACCCTTGATAAGAAACTTAAAATAAATAGACAGTTTTGCAATGTCCTGAATAATCACTCTTTATAAAATACGAGTTTGAGAAAGTAAGGCAATGATAAGTCCTTACTCCGAAACGTCAAATGACAGGTTTTGTATCGAATATTGACATTACTTTCATCGTAAAACTGATATATATGTAGTACGTATGAGCTTCGTTGCGAACTCAGTCACGTAGTATCGTATTTCGTCTAGACTTCCTGACCCCAGATCAGCCCGTTAAGACAAGCTTCATCCGGTTCTTAAAAGGCTAGTGTCTTGGGTGAGCACGCACAGACGTACGTGCAGCACCTCTCTATTGTCCAGATAAGTACCGGAGCCGTTGGCTTGCTCACCTCCCCATGTTAGGGCTTTCATATCGGGAATCTCGGTCCCGAAAATTTAGAGTCTCCACAATTTTTTGACATTTTCAAGACTCAAGGCTGACTTTTTCAGTCTCCATCAAGAAATATCAAGACTTTTAAAACTTAAGTCATTTAATTAAAAAATATTAAAAAATGTCAAAAGGACTAAACCATCAGTTATGTCTTATTTTGGCTAATAGACGTGGCAACACTGAAGAGTGCAGCTTAGTGTAATTTGTAGATATTACAGAACGGGAGTAACAAAATCAGGTACTCTGAGTTAGAAACTAAACGCCCTTTGTTTCTTACGTACTCATTATAAAAATAAAAATAAAGCTTTTATAAATATTTTTTTATTTTAGGGCGCGTTTCCATTATGTCGAAACGTTTTATTTATCGTTGGACGATTGTCGCATCTAGCCTGTTCCCATATCACGACTATATGTAGTGACTGAGTCGTGGACATTTATTTTCTCGTTGAACGACTGTCGTGTTCAGCTGTTCCCGCTAGATCGTGACGACAGTTTATCGGTTCACGGCAGCCGCCTTATCGTTTGCACGACAGAATGGTTTGAAGCTGCGATTATTTGTCGTCTCATTTTTATTTGACGTTTTATTTATCGTCAGAGGACTGTCGTTCTAGCTCTTCCCATTATCACGTCTAAACGCATATAAGTATGTAGTCTACTTTTGGAACAGTCTCGAAAGTCACGTTCTTCCCGGGATTTTCGCCTTTTTTTTATTGAAAGCCCTACCCGATGTGCATTGCAGTAGTCATATTGTCATCTAGCAGTTGTCTTCTTAGTAATTAAATCTAAATTCAACTACCAAATTTCTGGTTTGGTGTCAGAGCTATCGGCACGCTCTACTTTTTTGTTTGTGACAGATCGAACAGTTAAGATTTTAGGGGCACGGCCACTGCGCCCTGAGACATAACTTGACAAGTCCCATGTGGCTGTGATTTCACCAGCACCCTTACCCTTCAAAACCGGAACACAGTAATACTGACATTACTGCTTGTAAGCAATAGGTAAGGTGGCAGTTCTACCAAAGACGAACTCTTTCTTCTCTAAAATTCCTAAGCGAAGGACCGTAGGATATCTAACAACAAATATCATACCAGTAAAATCTCAAAGTTACCTGATATGTGGTCCGTCGACGACGTCACGCGAGGCGAGGGTGACGCTCGCGTGTGGTGGACGTCCGCTGCGGCAGACATCGCACGAGCGCGCCCACCATGCGTTGTACGCGAACCAACATTCGTTGCATTGCCACATGCGGTTCTCGCGGCTATAGGACGTTATATATTTTTTCATCACACTTGCTCGTAAATGGTATGATTGCATGGTGTAACATGACATACTTCCTTACATAGGTCACGTTCAAGTTCAAGCAAGGGGGTTACTTAAACAGAACTTTAATTGCAACTCAGCCACATACTACTTAAATACCTATTATTAAGAATTTCTTAAAATTGATTTTAATTGTTTTCTGTATAAAAATTTAGCAAATTTTTTTTTATACATCATGGCTGTATGCGTGTTTGCTTTTTACAACATTTTAGTTCGAGTTGTATTTTATCTACGGAAGAATTAAAAAAAAAAACAAAAAACGCGACATTTGCCAAATCCAAAATTGTTGCCTTGTGAACAATATTTATATTGTATTTATTTCCTCACAAATATGATGAAAAACATTGCATGTATCACGGACGGTAAAAAAAATACAAAACTCGAGTTATTAAAGTCCTCAGCCTTTGGCTTCGGGCTTCTAATAGACCCTCGTTAGTAATTTCTTATTTACCGTCCTTAATACGCAATGTACTATTTCTCAAACATGCTCTGATATGTTTGCATTACAGTGCCTTTAAATTAGCCGCTTATTAAATTAGAAGCATTACAGTGGCGCCACTGTGGCATTGCAGTCGCGCCACTACTAATTTTCATACAATAATTATTTACAAGCGCAGCTGCAGTGCAACAGTCGCGCCACTCGCGCCACTTTTACAGACTAGATATTGTATAAAAATTAGTAGTGGTAGCAATGCTTATTACAAGCGTCTAATTTGGAAGCATCCTTGCTCTCAAAAAATTAACCAACAAAGTTTGTCATTTATGGAGCGTGCACCTCTTGGCCGGAAACATAATCTCAGTACAGCGTAGTATACTAAATCGGTTACCGGAAAGTGCGCAAAACCGCAAAATCCCCTAGTTCGACACGAATTTCGTCGTGCGGTCGCCGAGCGGAGTCCGCGTTACCGCCGCGCAGCGACCGCGTGCGTCTAACGGCGCGTTCAAATTAGCCGCTGTTAGCGGCGCTGCAGCCGCGCGGCGGCCGCGCGACGGCCGCGCGAATGTCACTTTTCATACAATTTCTAGAAGCGCTGCAACCGCGCGGCGGCCGCGCGACAGTCGCGCTGCTGCAGCGCGTCTAGAATTGTATGAAAAGTGACCCTAAGTCACGGCAAAATACGCTCTATTCGTTTATCCTTTACGTTTCAACTTAAATGAGCGTCCCGGACACGCGGGCGAGTCTCGCTTGAACTTGGTCTATGCGGCGGCCGGGTGGCGACCGCGCCGTTGTATTATTCAGAGGAATTTAAATGTTGTTGCCTAGTAAATAGAATTCAGATTCGCCATTAATGTACATGAAGGCGATTTCGCTCTTAGACGTGGAATATTTTTTTCAAATTTAAATCAAACCAATACTGAGGTACCCTCTTTCCACCAAAAAAGGAATCATCAAAATCGGTCCACAAAAAAGCCGGAGTTATCGCGTAACATACATACAGAAAAAATACAATCGAATTGAGAACCTCCTCCTATTTTGAAGTCGGTTAATAAGTCTGTAAATCCATGTCCGTCCGCTGCTCTAAACTATAAAACACATCTACTAACAAACAGCTATGTAAACAGACTAAAGAAAAACTGTCATACAGCCAACTACTCACTAGCATCAGTGTCCGTAATTGCGAGAATTAAAAAAACTGTCTATGGTACTACTTATTCTGAGTTTAATCACCTATGGTGAATATATATAAAGAAGTGAGAAGAGAGACAATATAATAATGGAATGTGTAGCGAGTTACTGAAATTATGTAAACGGGTTCACAAATATTCTATTTCAATATTTCATTGTTTTTATTGATTTGTACCATTTTACCATTTTATATTAAACAAAAAAATGTACGCACAAACGGACACATGCAGGCGCCGACTTTTTATATATATAGTCTCAACTGCGTCACACCGCGGAACCGGTCCCGGCGGTCGAACGAGCGGCGCGAGTGCATCACTGCACCGCGGGGCGCCCTTCTCTAGTCGCTAAATAGCTTCTACCGAAACTGCATATCATCCTATGCTTGTCGCTGCTTACATGTGTGTCGTGCGTGCTGTATGCCTAGTTACCCATATTGCGAATTGCTTTTATTTCTGCCTTTACCTCGGACGTTACTTATTCGCGTAAAATACGACGAAAGGTGGAGAGGCTCGGTTAGTATTAATACCCACTTCAAATGTACTCCGCCCAATTGAAGTCGAAAAAGGTTCACAACTCCTGGAAAACTGGTGAAGTCCCTGATTCGCATTGGAACAGAGTAGCGGTTTACAGCCTATTCCTTAGAGGAAAATCGGGTATCAGTTATCAGGTATCAATGGAACGTGTTGTTGTTGACAATGATGATAAACACTAGTCCAAACTAGTCCACTCACAATCAAGCTCACTCACCTTGGTTGCTGCTGAGTAGAAGGCACTTTTTCCCTCGGTTGCGACACCTTCCCGACCGACGGCAACATGTTGTAAACTTTTGTGCTCGGGTCTCGCGGCACCGCACCAATGTGAGATGTCCTTATATTACTCGCTTCACTAACAGGAGATATACAATTCTCCGCCCCTAACAGCTCGTCTATACGAGCGTAGTCATCATCACCAACGTCATTTGAATATAAAACTTCATTGTGTGAGTTACTCATAACGTTCTTCGTGTCCTGTACCGAAACATAAGAGTATCGCGTCCCGTTGTTGTTCACTTGTAGCTGCAAATTCAAGTCCTTGTACTTCCCCTTGTTCGGCAAGGCGTAAATCACGCCTTCTGCGTTCGTATCCCAACTACATTCCTTATCTTCTATGTTGGATTCTTCGATTTTCTTATCTAATTCCTTGGGCTCAGGTTTGAGATTCACGTAACTGCCTAACCTTTGAGAATCGTGAAGACTTCTTCGACTTGGAAGTATCCTGCCTTGGGTACCGGCATTGGTTTGTTCTGAAAACGATCTTCTGTACGTTGGTCGGATTTCTGGAGAATTTTGTGCGCTTATTGACCGTCTGAATGACGGTCCTAAAGTTGTACTTCCACTTTGAGGCCAGTCAGGAACAGTGATCATAACACCACCCGACGTAGGCAGAGACGCAGCGCCATCCCTTCCACTCAAAGTCTCGTGTCTCCCTAAAGTGGTCACGCTCAATCCTCTCGTGTTAGAAACTCGTGCCAATGGTGATACTCGAGGAGCCAAACAAGCCTCACAATGGGTCCGTATACCAGAATTCTCCAAAGTACATTTACCACAAGCCCATTTCTTCAAATGCAAAGCTCTACTCTGTTCTCTTTGATATTCTTTCACGTAATTCAACTCCCAATTAGATTCACTTTCATTACGTTTCTTCGGTTTCCTAGTTACTGTATGCAGACTCCTCAAGAAAGATTCTCTTGGATTGTATTGAGTGTTGTACCCATAACGTTCCGATACCATTAAACTTGTGGGTCTGTTTATTGTCCCACGGGTTTCATCAACTTTCCACCACTTATGTTGGGAGTTGATTACAGATCCGTGAGAAAGGGACCTGGTCACTCCATGAGCTTGGTCAGCCAATTGAGTTGGCGAAAGCCTAAGGGACTGCAAATCAAGATTCAATCGTCGATCGCGCGAATAACTCGAAGTGGGCTTATATGAAGGAACGGCCAGGGTGTTGGATCTTATCATAGTGTGATCTGTAAATAAAACGTATTTTCTGTATAGATAGATAGAAAATATAATATAATAAATTTCAAGTCGCAATATTGGGCTCTTGAAGCATGGAAAGATCCTTAGCAGTCAGAGTTTGAGAATTGGGGCTGAGTGGATATGGAGATCTACAAGTGCTCCCTGAAGTTTTCAGTACCCTAATCAGGTTTTATCGCCGCAAACGACCTTGAATTTAACTACCTGACAGGAAAAATTGAGGTAGCTGGTCAAACGATCACTTTGTGTACTAAAATAATCAACTTACCCTGGGCAGCTTTATCTTTGTCCGTCATCCCTGAAGCTTGGTCCTCGTCATCCGAAAGTCTGAGGGATAATATAAAAGACATTACAATACATATGTTACATGACAAACTTAAAGCGATCAGTATTTTTGAAATAACACAATATTCAGCAGATTCATTATTAAAAGGACCTATTCCTGTTTCATATGGACCTGTATGAACAAATCGTGCGCCTGGTTTTAAGCGACATGCCTGTCCAAAGCAGTTCCAGTGCCGGCTTTAAATCGCAAAGATCTGGAGGGCAGTGCCACTGCGCCCGTCAACGTGAGACATAAGTTGACAAGTCCCAAGTGCCTATAATTTCACCAGCACCCTTACCCGTCAAAACCGGAAAAGTGGCAGTGCCCAGAAGGAACTCTTCCACAAGGAGCTCTACTGCATCAGTATTATTATTAAGCTTGTGGAAGTACAAATCTGACAAGCACGATAATAATGAACAATATATTTACTTATAGACAGGAGCGTGTGGCGCCAGGGCATCACATGCGGCGCATCGCCACGCAGCTGACACGTTGCGTAGTCCACAGCCGCAGCGCCACGCGCGACTTGCGCCCGGCGCCGAGCCAACACACGACCATCCGCTGAAGAAAATGGTTACATTATTTACGACTTAATTATACAAAATTATACCATTCCCAAAGGAATTACCCTTTATGAATGGTATAATTTTTGTCACATTTTAGTATATTTCACTCTGTGTATTGTGTATACCAAAATGTGTAACACGGCTATTAATGTTTATAGACATTGCATTAATGTTTTAAGATGACCGGCTTTCTCTAAAACAATGAGCTCGGCAATGGGGCATGCACACCTAAATAATGCCTATTCACTCTCGCCTTGAAAATGTCCAAGTTATTACGTTCAGGGAATAAGTCTACAGGCAGGGAATTCCACCTCATAGTCGCTGACATGTTACCATCACACAGTGATGAAATTTTAGCTTTTATGTGTAGGTTACTATGGCACATAACACTGATTCACTGAAACGTAGCAAGCTGTTGAGCTTTTTTGCATTAACAGAAATAACACAACCCAATTATTCTCATCTCTTAGCAAGGGATGAACAGACAAAGGCAGGTGCCAAGGAGACCCTTATTGGTCTCAAACTCTTTATAGGTATAGCAAACAGCCTGACTAAGCTCACTGTGCTAAATGAGAGCACACACGTCTCACAAGATGATCTTGAGCATTCAACAGTCTTGATAGCTACCTACAGTACCAAACACTGCAAAATAACTCTGTTACTGAACAATAACTGCATCACAATGCTAACTAGAGCCTTAACAGGGATTTGTCGTTTTAACAAGCACATGTCATATATTGGGCAGAGAGGAAGCAATGTAGCTTCTGTTACCAGGTGAATGAAACTCCTGTGCATCTCCTCATACAGTGCTGCCACCTCACGGGCATACGAAGTTCCATACTTAAAGACACAGGTCACAACCAGAGGACATAAAAACTGTCAGAGTCATGAAAGTCCTTCAGTTCACTAATGCTATTGGCCTTGGCTTCGAGCTGTAATTAGTGATAATCAGAGTAAATCAATTAATGGTCGCAGTGATGAGAGGCTGCATAGGCCCTGAATGAAACCAATGTAATAATAATAATTATCATCTCTTTCATGGTTTCATATAGCTTTTATTAAGAATTGGGAGACTCGGAACAGATAGCATGGATAAACTTAGGCAACAATTGGAAAACCAAAGTAGTATGCGGGAACTTGTCTAAATTGCTAAAGTTATTTCCAAATCTTTATGCTACTGATCTATATGAATAAAAATTTTTCTGTTATTATTCCTTAAGTACATGAAGGTTGTGTAATAATTGTCTAAACTTTATTAATGGTAATCTATAAAGATATTGAACAACATTGAAAACTATTTTTCGGGATTTTAATCGCGTATATTTGTTTTTTTTTTTTCTAACAAACCTTTTTGTTTCAAATACTACTACTCATATTTAATTTCTTGGGACTGCTCGTGCAAATTGACATATGTTCACATTTAGGGATATTTATTTCAAATTATGTACAAACTTCCTGAAAGAGATGAATGTAAGTTGCATACAAATAAAATAATACACCCACAAAAAAATTTAAAATTAAATTTTGGACAAAAGCTACACAGGCAAAACAAATCCAACACATACAGATTTAAAGAAGTTTATCGTTTTATTTTTCCTGTAAAGTTGGTTGTTTATTATCAAAACATGTTGATTCAGTGGGGTTCTAGATTTACCATTGTTTTAATTTAAATTACGGAGTTTCACTAAAATAATTGTGTTACTTTATTTACTTATTGTAACTGATCGACAATATGTTACAAAAACAACATGAAACATCATTACTTTGTAGACAGTCACTGCCAGTCGGTCAAATTTGTTTACATCAGTAGCATAATGAGTGTGCACTGACTTATATGTATTCAGCCCTCCTTGACATAACTAAAGCATATTTTGATATATTGAGACATCGCACCTAAAGTTTGACTGTCACCCAAAAAAAATTTAAATAAGCAGATTTTGCTTAACAATAACTCTGAGACTAAACAAGATCTTAAAAACCGAGTAAAGAGATGGTTGTAGATGTTGTTTCACTGATCCCAGATATGTATACTATATTTTGCTAAAATGTTGATAATGTTGCTTTATGATAAAGACGGCAGTATTGTTAAGTCTATCAATCACATGCTAATAATAGAGACAAAAAAAAAGTCTAAATGGGTGGAATTGTTTTGAGTCTCTGAAAACATTAAAAAAAACCACACTTAAGTTTCATAGGTAAAACACAAAGAAACCATTTCTTAGTTTATCGGTATAAACAAATGATAACAATGAAGTAAAAGTGGTATAATATAAATATCACTCAAAAATTATTCTGAAAAAGAGTCCTGACAAAATATCCTACCTGAAATTTTTATTCAACCTCCTATTAGATCATGTTTCAATAACTTTTTTAAGTCAATGTCTAACTAGAAGGCTTGGTAGGAACTTGGCTGACCCCTACAATTGAAGCTATCTGCGCAAATGTGGCATAAGCCCCATTAATTTTTTTTCCACAATATTACTTTAAATGATACTAAAATACATAATTATTTTATATTTGGATGCTATGTTCTAGTATAAAATTAAAAAAATAATACTTAAAATTTCATATTAAACAATTATTTTATGCTCAAGTCTACTAGACTTAATAATAAGCTTATTACACTATGTAAAGAAAAACTTGAATATTAATTTTTAGGCTTTGTTGGTACACTTACTTTCAAGTAAACAACTTGATAATGAAAAATTAATGAATGTAACAAAAGAAATCACATTTATGTATATTAATGTCACAGTATGCGCATAAACACTCCTTCCGATAGTCGAACGTGACAAAAACTTATTGATTAACAAAAAATAACTGCTCCCATTACAAGGTAATGAACGAAAATAACTTTCGATAAAAATTGCCTTGATAACACAATAACTACATACCTACGATCATTTTCTTTGTAGCGCGAGAAAAACTACATTTCCAAAGAAATAATGACATACGCCCACGGCAAAGCCTATGTTATTTGATAATTCCGTTAATGAACTACCTCTATCACCACCCAACAATGAAATACTACGAAAAATATAACCTAATAGGGGTCACGAAAAATCGATATTCTGAATGACAGGAGCAACAAAAGAATCATGTTTATATCGGAAAAACTCACCTTTTGAAGTTATTTGTGACTGGAATAACGATTGGCTCCGACCCGGGAGTAGTTCCCTCACTCTTCCCTGTGCGAGAACCGTATTCCGGCGAAGAATCTTCTCCAAAATACTGCTTTGTAGACTCAGTGTCATGACTCGAAACTCTTTTTGTCCCACATTTTAAACACTTTACACTTTCGGTAGGATTGATCTGGCCGCAAGTCTGACAATGCCATTGCAGCACAGATGCGATTGAGCCCATTTTAATTCACACATGATTAGGAAACCATAACAATTCGGCGTTTTTTACGAAAACTTTATGTCTGAGAAAAATGAAAACAGCTGATCCACCATGTTGTTTGTATTTTACTTTTTTATGTTAGGTATGCACTTTGATGTCGATACGTTTCCGGTATTATCGGTTTTCAGGGTTAACATTGTTTTTTTCAATTTTATAAAAACAGCAAAAATGTGAACTAATGTAAAATGCACATTCCCAATGTCTGTAATTAGATTATACAAATTTTAATCTACTTTATCTGACATTAAATCCAAGAACATTTTGTAATATTTTGTTTCTATTATTTACAACGCCATCTATACACGCTTTTACATAACTACTACACTTGCATGACGAACGTAGCACTTTCTCGTCAAATATAAATGTAGTATTACTGTCGTGGCTCGACAGAGAGCACTAAAAGCACAAAGTGTTCTAACTAAAAGGTTTCGACACCATCGCCATCTGACCATCACCATTGAATTTGAACAAAATTATATTATTTATTTTAACTAATTAACGAGATTGAGAATGTTCTTAAAAGTGCAGGTCAATTATTATCGTTCAAGAGTAATCATGCCTGGATGACGCGACAGTGGATGGAGTGAAAGAAGTACGGCAGGATTGTGACAGGTGGTAGTCAGATGTTGGCGGATGTCGGATGTATGTATACATTTATGTGATCTAGTAACGCGAACAAGACTAAAAAGAAATAGATTACAGAGATAAAGGTTTATTTTGTGATCATCCAGCACAGCACTATATCTCCTATCACATGCCCTTTTTCTCAATTAGAACCACAGCATCGACCAATTGCCTGCAATTAAATCATTTACATAAACAAAGCTCAATTGAAGCTATTAAATCGAATCATTATGGTCCATGCGCAGTTCAGTTTCAAGAGGCTATTGCATGCAGGCGAGCACGGGATTATTGCCACAAATTATGACGCACAACTGTCACTAGCATTGCCACGTCAATAACGGAATGACGTCGTCGTTATGATAGTAAGTGCGACCCAGCTTTTGAATTATGTGGAATTCTGGATGACGAAATTCTGTATTTAGCTATTTAAATTGTATTACAAATTACTATATTCATTATAACAAGTGTGTTCCACAACTGCATGCACGGCTCTTTGCAAAAATAAACTTATATACTTAGAATAATAACGCATAATCTTATATATATATATATAAAATGCATTTACCTGTCAATATGTTATCATCACTGTCAGTCCCATCTCTGTGCATTATTCGTGTGTGTATTGTACGACTGTGTGTTATTTATTTATGTGTTGTGTTTCTGTTATTTATCTGTGTTTTGTGTGGATGTGTCTGTGTCAGTGCGCTTTTCGCACAGTATCTCTATTATATGAGTGATGTCTATAGCTTCGCGTGGAAGGATATTACGTTATATACGATCCCTATCCAACTTAATAGTAGATATTGAACGAAAAATGTCTCGCATTCAACTTTTGCTGCGTACCTATATCCTATATCGGTTTATCTATTTCAAACATTTACCCTTCGCTAGTCATATTATGTAGATAAAGGTCGCCTGTGTACATAATCCAACAACAACAAAGAGTGTAACCTAAGTAAATAAGTAGATAAACACAACCACACAATGAGATATATAAACAGTCACGTTTAACGTTTTGTTTACAACACTTTCTCATATTATGCTGTGCAAATGAAGTAGGGTTAGATATTAATTTTGATATATCATATTTTAATATATTCTACAGTACACATACACATATTTTCTTAATATCTCTCGGAAATCGGATGTACGACTTTTGCTTTGAATTGATTTTTTGGATCGCAATGGATCATATCGTCACCTCAGAGTTTTGTAATCTGAGGTCGTCGTCTTGCTTTCTCAAACTCGTATCTTAAAGCACAAGTAACTGAAACGCAAAAAATGCATTATATATACACATTTTGCAGTCTGATTTGACAGCGCATTTCTTTAATATTCACATACTGGCTTTTAATACATCTAAATTTTTTTCAAGAAATTTTAAATTAATAAAAAGTTTTGCCATCCCTTGAATAATCACTCTTTATAAGGTAATATTATGGTGACCTAGTGCTGATCCAATGATGGAGCTAGCAAACCGATAATTGCAACTCCTCAACAAAGTACAGCAGCTGCTTTGTGTTTGGGCTCGTTATGATTCGTTTTGACGAGGACTTCCTTAAACGTTCCATAGATGTTTCCACAAAGTCAAAGTCAAGTAATTATTTATTCCATAGGTAAAATTTTTACATCTGAAAACGTAATTTTTACCTATATATAAATAGACACCGCAAGTACCGCGATCTGTACGAAAATCAAGCGTGGCACGTTTTTGTGCCTTTGATAACATTACAAGCGCTATTTAGTGATGGGAAACCTTTTCGACACTAAAGCGATTGATTAAATCGAAGGCGCGGACGCAGCACGTATACGAAATAATGACTTTTCAAGTATTTGTTTACGTTATGAAGCCGTGAAATATTAATATAATAAAATAATACCAGAATAAGTTAATTAAGTTCTTTCTTAACACGTGTTTGAAAAATGTTGTTCCGGAAAGTTAAAAAAAAACAACAAAAACCTTTATGGAATATTCTCTCACGTATATACGACACGTGTAGCCCCAACGTCTGTTAGTGAATGTAGTTCCGATGACTAAAACTTGTAACTGAGGATTTGATCGATTTACTGGAGAGTTAATGTTACAGGAGTATGGCCTAGTGTAATGGAACTTGACGAGTCGCCACGCAGCCATGCTCCGCCAGCCATACGACACTTCCACTAACCTTTCTGCGACAGCAGCGCCGCCTTCAACCGATCCGACGCCACTAGTCTGCCGCGTGATGGAAGAAGTGGAGGGATGTAGCCAGCTAGCCAGCCTATATAAGACTTTTGATTTAATTTAAAAAGAATTTTGTCTAGAAGCAACTGGATAATAATAATAACAATAAGGCTCAACTCAAGCGCACGCTGGCGCAGAATCAAAGAGGCGCGTGACGGCAGTTGCATTAGTGCGCCCGCTCAGAAACCGCTCGACTTTAACCAAGCGTAGACGCGCTATTCCATATTTGCATAATCCAAATTTGTACCTTTATAATGGGAAAATAGAGATGAATATGCTATAAGCTAAAAACATGACGGGTCGCGACGCTTCGACCCTGAGCCAGTGTGAGTTGAGTCTAACGCACACACTCTATATAGCCCCGCACTAGGAAAACCTTTGTCGCGGGTGCCATGGACACACCACTTAGACAACCACAAATTACACCCAAACTCACAAGATAAATAAATGTAGGCCATACAAATATTTCTCCCGGCCCGGGAATCGAACCTGGGACAGCTACGTGGCAGTCGGGCATGATAACTGTTCGGCCACGAAGGCAGTTATTAATCATATATAAATAAGCCACATTGTATCGGTATATTGTAAAAAAAGCAATAAAATACTTGATGATCTTTACATCATTGTCTTATTTGCCGCCATTCTGTACATACCTAATTTTATTCAACATTATTTTTTTATGTTTTTGCAATAATGCCCTACAGTGTTCATATTGAAAAAAGATAACTGTGACTACTTCATTAAAATAAAATAATTTTTTTGCCACGCCGCCGGTTTACGCCGTTCAAATACATCGATGTCGATATTTATTTTAAAAACTTTTTTGTGTCTTTAACCCGTAAAAGTGACAAAAGTATACCCCTCGGTACTAGCATAATAACATTCTTATAAGCGACCTTTTTGACAAAATGATAAATAGTATCCCTTGTGTCCCTGCTTGATGTCTTGGGTAGGGATTATAATACCTTTAAGGGTTAAGTACCCCTTTTGGATTCGTTTTGTCAGGTATTGAGTTTGTTGAAAATGCTCTTTAACCTTTTATTGATCCAAGGACGTATTCTAATTTTAGAAAGTATTTCGTGAAAATTCCAGTGTTCAGATGGCTACTTTGAACGCGATTGAGTGAATAAATATTCAAATTCAAATTTTTCATTTCAGAGGTTATTTTATTATAAATCGCCTCTTGAACCCATATGAACTTGATTCCAGTCTCGTGTAGACTTCTTCCAAACACTCCAATAAAACGCCGTATTAACCAAACTGATTTATTAAATTATCTATTCTTCCAACGATTTATACTAGAACTTTAAAATATACTCAACAAAAATTGTAACCACAAAATACCGTTATAATTCCTGACCAATGTAACTTTAACATTTGATGAGATACGAATGCATAAATTTGTCTTTCACCTAAGACATTGCCTCGTAAATCCCATTGACTTACAAATAAATGGACGACGGGTCTAATACAAAAACCACGAAAAAAATGTCCCAAGTCAACCTATTCGAAATTTAAATTGTTATGTCATCGCAGTATCGCGCTGTCCGTAGAACAAATGAAGACTAAAGCGGAGTGTCGCGCTCTGTATACGATTTTAGCGCCTTACAAGTGCGGACACTTTTTAGCGCGGACCCGACGTCCATATAATTGTAAGTCAATGGTAAATCCATTCTTTTTCAATTCCCGCCATTTTTCGCAAGTAGGGAACTTTAAAAGCAATGTCATTGGCTAGTCGAACCGGTAGATAAAGTGTTCGGACCAATCACAATCAACACCGACACGCCATCTACACGGTAACATTTCGGAAACCTAATAATATCAATTAACAAACTTTTTAAATTAATTTATGGAATAAGCTTATTTACCCTTACAATATTTAAATAAATGATAATGAAAATAATTTTTCTATTTTACGATTATATATTTCTTACACTCGTATGAATACCAAATATGAATTTGTGTAATTAAACAATAAATATATAAATAACGCATACCCTCATAGCCCTAGGGAAACCCTGTGTCGAGGGTGCCATGGACACACACATAGACAACCACAGATTACATCCAGACTAGCATGGTAACCATTCGGCTACTACCATATCAAAAGTTTGTAGAATTACATATTTGCCATGTATGATTTAAGTCGGTT